ACATGCCAGTGGGGAGACACAGCACTGGGGAGACATAGCACCGGGGAGACATGCCAGTGGGGAGACACAGCACTGGGGAGTCACGCCAGTGGGATAATACATCTATGGACAAAAAACATTGGGGAGATGTCCCAAGAACTTGTTTCTTGAATGTTTTGAGGTTGGATGTTCTCCGGGATTCAGAATGCTTACTCTAATGAAATTGATGTCAAAGGAACCATGTTGCTTGGACCTGTAGATTCAGAAGTGGAGGAGCAAAAAATTGCAAAGATAATGATGAGAATGAAGAATTTCCTTTTGTAATTCCCAGAGGCCGGAACAGTTTGATGAAGGATTTGTTCGGAACCAGCTACGTTATTCTGGGATGCTGGAAATGGTGAAAATTCGACGTGCAGGATTCCCGGTCCGACGACCATTCCAGGAATTTTATCTGAGGTGCGAGTTAGAATTTCCCGCCATCTCATCACCTTTTCTGAAAAACATTGTTAAATTACTCATGTTATCTCAGAGTCCTCTGTCAGAGAGCAAGCATTAGGGAGAGAGGATAGTGAAGTAATGGTTTGATGGGCTATTGAGAGCAACATGGGAAATAGATGGGCAAGTCACAGGGATTAGTGGTTGGAAATATTTTGATGGAGGTGTCCATCTGAGTTCCCATGTCTCTCTATGTCTCTGTGTTTCTATAATCTACTGTGTTTATCCTTCTGTTTTTGCATATAGAATCATAGAAGCATACGGTACAGAAGAGGCCCTTTGGCCCATTGAATCTGTACCAACAAATATCTGAGTTTCTGCCTCACTGTCTATGTCTCTGTGTCTGAGTCACTCTATGTCTCTCTGTTGTCCTGTGCCTCTCCCTGTACTATTTTTATTCTCTTGTGGGACGTGGGTGTCTCTGGCTGACCAATAGTTATTGCTCATTAAGGTTTTGGAGTAGATTTGTAGCTCGGGTTGTGGGTGTTGAGGTTGGTTGGCTTGCTGAGCTGGTTTGTTGTTCTGCAGACATTTCATTACTGTGTTGGGTAACATCCTCAGTGCAGCCTCCAATGAAGCGCCGGTGTGTTTTCCCGCCTGGCTTTTAAACTCTGGGGTCCGTTGCGATGGATTGCCTCACTTCCGGGTTTCCTCCGTAGTGGAATGTATATGGGGTCGAGTTCAATGTGTTTATTAATAGCCTGCTTCGTGGAGTGCCATGCTTCCAGGAATTCTCGTGCCTGTCCCTTCCTAGCCTGTCCCAGGATCTTGGTGTTGTCCCAGTCGAAGTCGTGGTTTTCCTTGTCCATGTGGATTGAGATGAGTGAGTACTGGTCGTGTCTTTTTGTAGCCAGTTGGTGTTCATGTACTCTTGTTGTTAGTTTCCTTCCTGTTTGTCTGATGTAGTGTTTCTCGCAGTCTCTGCAGGGGATCTTATAGATGACATTGGTCCTGTCCATGGCGGGGATTGGGTCTTTAGTTTGGGTGAGCACTTGTCGTAGGGTTG